ACTTGTGCCTCTCGGTCAGCTGCTCTCCTCAGTTAAGAGTGCTGGTGCTGGTTTGCCCCAAACATAACAGGTCACAGATCTGTTATGGGAGAAAAGAGACTTCCTCATCGTGAAGGAGAGAAGACAGAAGAGTTGAAGTGATCTTGTGCAGAATGCTTCAGTCGGGGGGGGGGGGTTGCTAAGCTTCCCTATGGGCTGCAGTCACTGTTGCTGAAATGCACCCAGGAATGGAAGCTTAGAGCTACCCTGGATGCTGTTTAGCAGTTCCTATTGGCTTGGTACTGTGAAGTCACAAAAGAGGCCACTGGTTGAGCATCTGCCAACCAAGCTGCACCAGGGTACTTTGATTTAATTCAGTTTAGACCAGGCTTCCACAACCTTGGCCCTCCAGATGTTTTGAGACTCCAATTCCCATCATCCCTTACCACTGGTCCTGCTAGCTAGGGATCATGGGAGTTGTAGGCCAAAAACATCTGGCGGGCCGAGGTTGAGGAAGCCTGATTTAGACTAATCTTTATTTGCCAGCTTAACTGTTTGTGCCTTTAGTATGAGTATGCCAGTTTGTAACAGGGCTGCTGGACTCCTGAGGAATTCCATGCAAAGGATCTTTCATTGGTGATGGCAGGACCAACCTTTAAGTACAGCTGCCTGGGGCCTTCCATATCTTTGCAAAGGTGCCAGGAGACAAAGACATTGGCCTATAGCACACCGTCTCCCCAACATCTTTAATGATGACGGTGACAGTGAATCATGCATGTGCTGTTCCCCTTTTCGTCCCAGCTTCCATGGTAAATGACATATTGCAAAAGTGACCTAATAAATCAGTGCCATTGCATGTAAATTGCCTGGCACTCTTTTGAGTGACCTTCATCTCATGCTGCACACCAGAAAGAAGAGCATGCTGCCTTTCATTTCCCTAAATTTGTAGCTCTTTACTTTTCCAAAGCAGATGTGGGGTGGAAATGATGGCAAACTACTCCCGACATTGAAAGGAACACCATGAACCCCAAACATTTGCATTCTGGGGATTGGCAGAAATTGATCCATAATCAAAGGCACCACTTTGTCTGTTTTTAAGCTTCCAAGGCTGTGTACATACATCAGCCTTTGAAGCCCCATGGTTTGGGCTTCTCTAAAAGCCCTTTTGTAGACACTGCTTTGCAAGTGTCTATTCCTTTCTACTGTGCCGATAGCATGAGCAGTTGTCAAATCATTGTCCTCTGTACACAAAGAGGATGTGTCATCTGTAGCTAGAGCACATTAGTTTCTTTGCTCCCTTCCCTTACGATGCCTGCAAGTTTATTGAAATACCAGAAATCCAGAAGCACAGCTCACTTCTATTACAGTTTGCCCAGAGGCTTCCTTCCCTTGAACCATGCAGGCAACTTCATAGCATCTGTAAAGTTGGAAGGGATCCTAAGGATCATCTAGTCCAGGTATAGGCAAACTCGGCCCTCCAGCTGTTTTGGGACTACAACTCCCTTCATCCCTAGCCAACAGGACCAGTGGTCAGGGATTATGGGAACTGTAGTCTCAAAACATCTGGAGGGCCAAGCACTGGCGGGGGAACGGGGGGCAGGGGGAGCGCACTGCCCCCGGCACCATCAGGGAGGGGGGGTACCATCACGGCCATCCCCCCGGACATGCGCCGCGCACCCCCACCGCGCCAGGTGCCACGCCCCTGCAAGCAGCACAACACGCCCCAAGGATGCACACCACGCCCCAAGGATGCACACCACGCCCCCAGGATGCACGCCAGCCATGCCCCCGCCTGCTCTCCTCCCCCAGTGCTGGAGCATGCGGCTTCGCCACTGGGGCCGAGTTTGCCTATGCCTGATCTAGTCCAACTCCCTGCAATGCAGGTGTTGTATAGTGGGAAAGGTGGGCGACAGACACAGCTCTTTTAAGCAACAGCTCTTTTTTACAGCAGTTAGCACTGCTCTAAGTCTTTCTGAACAACAGTGAAGCTGGCTGCCTTATATAATGCTCAATAACTTGTAACAGTAACGAATTCCAGCTAACTACCCAGTCGGTGAAAGCAACTCTCAATCCTTCATTTGCATACTGGTGGCACAGAGTGGGAACTGCAGCCAGTCTGAATACATAACAGCAGGAATATGCAGCTGTCCCATGCAGGGATTTAACCTCCAACCTTGGCTCTACTATCCATTGGCTACATTTCTTCTTTCTTTTCCTTTTCTATTTTTTGCAAGGCACTCTGTATGCCCCCCCCCCGAACCTTCAATGCCCACCACACTTTCAACAACAACCACCCTGCAAGCTTATTGATATACTAGAAGTCTGGTAGCACAAGTTATATTTTACCCAGTGTATGTCCAGAGGCTTCCTTCCCTTGTACTATGCAGGCAGCTTCATGGCTAAATATCTTTTTACTCTGGGCAAGGCACTCTGAGTATGCTCAGAGGCTGCCTGTTCTGGTGCTAGGAAATAGTAACTGCAGACTGCAGTGTCTGTGTTATCGCAAGTCATATAATAATACTTTAATTCTATTAATGTTTAATTGTTTTAATGATTTTTAAAAAATGATTCCCTCCCCCTTATATCAGTTAATTCCTCTGGAGTCACGGTGGTTTTGTAAAAGGGCTGTGGACAAAATGGATGTGCCTCAAATCTGTAGAACTGCCGCCATTAGCAGATAATATGGTTCTTGTGGGGAAAGATGTACAGTGATTGCAAAACTAAGTTGATCAAAGCTTCGGGATTTTGATAATCTGGAGAGATTACTTAAAAATAATACCACCAGGCTGCCTCTTATCGAACAGCCTCTGAAAGTTCCCTGGGGTCTCTCTGACGTGTGTGTGGTGTTAAAATAAACTGAGGTGTTAAAATAAGCTGAGACTACTCAGGGCTTATGCAACAAGAGATGAATTCACTAAGATTAAAAAAGAAAAGTATAAGATCTGTAAATGTTACAGAGGGAGAAATGCAATGCCCCCAAAATTACACAAACCAGAAATATTCCAAAATATTCCCTTAGGAGCAAAACCAAATCAAAACTGGATAAACAGGATTCTCGGACCCTAGTCTCGAAGAGTTCCTAACTCACCAGGCTCTTAGCAGATTTTCCTGGCAGTGATCGTATAGTGGTTAGTACTCTGCGTTGTGAGGCTCTTAGTAGATTTTCCTTGCTTACAAGAAGGCCTTTGGTTATTTGAAGTATTTCTCCCAGGCTCCCCATAGAATCATAGCATTGGAAGGGACCCCCTCCCTGGAATCTCAACTAAAGCATCCATGACAAATGGCCATCCAATCTCTGCTTAAAAAACTCCAAGAAACAAGAGTTCCCCCACGTCTCGCGTGAGTCTGTTCCACTGTCAAACAGCTCGTAACTGTCAGAAAGTTCTTCTGGTGTTTAGTTAGAATCTCCTTTCTTGTAATTTGAATTCATCGGTTCGAGTCCTACCCTCCAGAGCAGGAGCAGACAAGCTTGCTCCATCCCATGGGGCAGCCCTTGAGATATCTGAAGATGGCTATCATATCTCCTTTCAGTCTCCTCTTATCCAGGCTAAACATACCTAGCTCCCTCAACCCTTCCTCCTAAGGCTTGGTTTCCAGACCCTTGATCGTCTTGGTTGCCCTCCTGAGATTGCCCATTTGAGATCTGCATGGCCATGTTCAAGTTTTTATTTCACACTCAGTTTAAAAAACAATGTATCTATCTTCTACGTGAAGACTGTGAACATCACTAAATCTGACAGAAGCAATCAATAAACGACACCCACCATGTTGACGCATAAGAGGGCTGATATTGGAATCTTTCCTTCTGCCTGCTAACCAGCTGTTTTGAAGAACGCTGTCACTGATTTCATTTGCTACAGCTGCAGCTTATTCAGATGCAAATTTCCATTTGGGCCAGTGTAATCACTTTTGTTTAAAAGATAAATTATAGCCTGCATACAAAGAAGTGATTTTCAGTCATTAAAAGCTAAGCTCTGGCAGCCAAACTAAAAATGGTCATTTCTCAATATAAAATTTAATGTTTTGATCTCCCTCTTGGGGGCCTATAATCAGGCTGTGTTTATTCTGCAATTGCAGTAGTGCAAAATTTGGTACAGAGTGCATAATTCAGCATACTGTACTTGGAATACTGGTTTATTAAAAAGGTCCTTCGGCCTATGAATATAGTGTGCAGCAAAGTCCAAACACTCCAAGTGTCCCTATTTTCCAGGGATGTCTCTGATTTAGAGAAGCTGTCTTGGTTTTGGATTTGATCTGGGAGTGTCCCGCTTTTCCTTAGGATGTCCCTATTTTCACTGGAGAAATGTTGGAGGGTATGGGGTTATCCGACCCCCAAGCTATCTGAAGGAAATCCTGTATAGTGAAGTTTTTTTTTTTTAATGTTTAATGTTTTCTTATGTTTATATATATACTGGAAGCTGCCCAGAGTGCTGGGGCAACCCAATAAGATGTGTGGAGTATAAATAGTAGAATAATTATTATTAAGAATGGGACGTCCCTATTTTCATCAAAGAAATGTTGGAAGTTATGAAAGTCTGATGAAACTGCAGAAGCCAGATCAGTATTTATCCACCACCAGTTATTAGCTTTGGAGGTGTAAAAGGGGTGTGAGACAGAAACTTTCTGTAAAGTGTAGAAGCTCCCTGTATGATCTCTGTTGGTTTTAGCACGCCAGAATGTGTGGAGTAGATACAAACCAGGTTTTACTTATGGTTCAGACTCACCACAGGCGAGAGCTGTTTAGGCAGCTGAGTAAGACTCTGGGAGCCCTTTGGTGCACTAAAGAACTTTAGCTCTTGTTGTCTCTTGGAATATAGTTACATAAAGGGTTTGGGCAAATTCATAGAATCATAGCGTTGGAAGGGACCATGAGGGTTATCTCGTCCAACCCCCTGCAAACAAGGAATCTTTTGCCCAACGTGGGGCTCGAACCCACAATCCTGAGATTTAAAATCTTATGCACTGGGATGGTTGCCCCAGATGCAAAATTGTTAGGGGTGCAAAATTTCAACATCTGTTGCCTCAATATAGCTGCCTGCTTTCGTCACTGGGCTCCTTTGAAAACGGCTTCTCCATGCGAACCAGGAAGTGACCTCTCCAGACAACGGAACAACTCTTCTTTTATTATCTCTGCGGCTGCGGCCTCCTGGGTGACGTGGATGCTGTTAGGCAGCTGCATGAACATGCATACTCCATCTGTTTCCTTCCCTCCAAGCGGCCCCTGTTTGGTCTGACCCAGCAAGGCTCTCCTTATTTTTTGAAGCCTGGGTGGAATTACACACATAAAAAACACTGTGAAAAGGGTGTTTTTTTTAAAAAAAACGTTTTGAAAAATACATTGAATTTGGCATAGCTCACTGTCGCCATCTAGTGTCACATTTGTATATTGCACTTTGCAACACATTTAGAACGTTTTACTTGCATCTGTATAGCTGAGTCCCTATTCTCAAGGGGAAAGTGGGATCAGTTTTTTAGGTTAGAGAAAGGAAGGGCAGCAAAATTGTAGCTCTGGGAGTGGGGGCAGAGATCCTGAAGACCTCTATATCTGTTGGACTGTCAACCCTCATCACTCCTGACCATTGGCCATCTTGGCCAGCTGGGGCTGATGGGAGCTGGGGTTCAATATCTGGAGGACCATAAATTCCCACCGCTGCTGTAACCAAGAGGACTTTCCTGTCACAAGAATTCAAGTGGAAACTGTCTGAAATCGGAGGGAACATGTAAACTGAGATAACAGTTTGTTCACGCAAAATAATGTTCTCATTTGTCAATGTGATCCTCCAATTTTGTCCTGTTGATAGTCCAAGGTTTTACTGTCAGAACAATTTCCTGAGGGAGCTGTTTTCCTAGGACACTTGGAATTCCATGCAGCATTTATCTGGATTGCAATCCAATCCTATAACCAAGTTTTGTTGGGTATCCATAATGCCCGGCCTAGCAACAGTGCAACGTAGAAACAAACTAAAGTTATCTCAGCTGCAAAGTCAACAGCACGATCGGAGAGGCAAAAATAAAAATGAAACACAACTTCTCCAACTACTCTCACAGCTCCAGATGAAACGTTCTGTACTAATGGGGCATCCATCACAACAGGCAGCCATCGTCGGAGCCCAGTGGCTGGGAGGAGACCCACACAGAGAAAACAGAGTTCACCGCGGTGCAAGAGAAGTTTCTATAGTCCCACTGATCGAGCACAAACACTGTGCAAATCCTTGCACACAGAATAGATCTTGGTGTCCTTAAGACAGGGACAGGCATTTTGTAAATGCCTTCCCCATGGCCTTGCTCAGGAAACAAGGCTGGCTAGCAAAAAGCATTCAGGAAGAGAGTGAGTGAGAGACAGGATACACAGGCAAGGGAGCAGAGGGCTCCTCCACCTTTTTCACCTGCGTGTTATTTTTTTGCTCCTTAATCATGGCTTCTCCTCTTTCTACATGACTGTGGCAGATCTAAGTTTGAACAGAAGGATCTGCTGTCATCGCATCTCAGCAGCCCTTTAAAACACAGCCAGACCCCTACATCTAGAGCCCTGTGACATCACAGTCATGGCTTCCCCCACAGAATTCTGGGAGTTGTAGTTTGTCAAGGGTGCTGAGAGTTGCTTGGAGGCCTGTAGTTGCAGCAACAAAGAGCTACAGTGTCAGAGTTCCCTATGAAGAGGGATTTATTCAGGCATAGGTAAACTCAGCCCTCCAGATGTTTTGGGACTACAACTCCCACCATCCCTGACCACTGGTCCTGTTAGCTAGGGATGATGGGAGTTGTAGTCCCAAAACAGCTAGAGGGCTGAGTTTAGGGATGCCTGGATTTACTGATATACCACTCAGAGAACAGGAGCTCTGTGAAGGGAACCAGGGTCTCCAAACAACACCCTTAACAAACTACACCTCTCAGAAGTCTGTGGGGGAAGCTATGGCTATTTAAACTGGCATAGTGTTCTAAATGTATGCTGGGAATGTGGCCTGTGTCTCAGTGGTGAACTGATATGCACCTAGAAGAACATGTGCCGTTAAGGACCCAGCGGTGATGATGGAAGGACCTGTGAGGAACAAACTGTGTCTGTGGTTTAACAGCTTTCCTCCCCCCCCCCCTTTTGTGAAATTGCTTTGTTGTGAACCAAAAACTCCTGACTGTGGTTCTACAAGTGCTTCTTTTATTAAGAACACAACAAATTGCTCCATCTTGGCACCATCTGAAAAGAAGTAATCTGTGGATAAAAGCTTTTTGGTTGTTCTGATTTAGGAGCTGAAAGCACAGACTGTGTCTTTATGGGCTTGATTTTTTTCTTTTTTTAATGACACATAAGTGACATGGAAGTTGGAGCTGGCTGTACACACAGCCCAATCTGATGCGCTCTCCTAATGGCACAAAGTGGGCTAGAAGTATGGGCTGCTAATCGTTTACACACCAGGCGGCATTGACAGGCAGGGACAACTTTACCCCACGCTAAGGAATTAGGAGTGCCTTAAGGACTCCAATCAGTGTGAAGCTGGTTTGACAAACAGCATCCAACAGCAGCACCTTATAACAAAGTGCAGGATACATATACCTTTTGGGTAATGTGTGAACATGGATTAAAAACCCAGCCCTGGAAACGCAGAGAGTGTACGGTAATCAGGAGTGTGAACACAGCCTTTTTTTCTCTGGACTTAGGGTCCCTGGTTGGAATTGATTTGGGAACCATCAGCAATACCGCTCTGCTTTGGAAACTTGAAGAAGCAGCAAAGTTGCACTCACTTGGGATGCAGAATTGACCTAGGAACCATTGATTGTTGACCCCCTATTCTAGCAATGCGTCATTACAGATACTTTAGGGAAGTGACTCCCAATTAGGTAAGGACTGTGGCCCCCATTTTTCAAAAGCCAAGCTTTTTGATAACTCTATGATAGCTTTTGTTATGTGAGTGGTGCCAGGGACCCCCTGGGTGAGTTATGTGGACTCCCTGGGGCAGGGAGGGCCATCTAGGGGGGCAAGGGTCCCCAAAAAAATTCAAGGAAGGGGCAAGGCCCCCTCAAAATTCTGCAGCAACTGTGTGCATGTCGTGGATGCACATCATTTGACGTGCTCATCTCACTCATGCATGCCGCACGGCGTGTTAGCGTCACTTGTGCAAGCCACAAAGCATGCACACAACATGTCCACTTAACTCCTGTTTGGCTGCTTTGTATATGGTTGTTAGTTTGTAATTATTAGACAACTCAGGGCATGAACCATTCAAGCTTAAGCACTGTTATTTCCCATTGATCCGAAAAGTAGTGCTAAGTGCAGGCTTCCATTGAAATCAGTGAGTTTTTGAAGCAGTTAGTCTGGACTGTATCCTCTCTCTCCATTTTCAGAAGGGGGAATGTATTTTTTCCCTTTATTTCAATGTCTTTGCAAAGCAGTTCAAAATAATTTGCAATGCATCATTTAACATTATGCAATTACTGCCTCCATCTTTCTAACAGCTGCAAAACAACGAGACACGTTGTCGTTCCTCTTTGAAGCAAAAGCACACGTCACGCCACTGTTGTATCTCTATGAAAATATGTTACATTTTGATTGCGTTCTGCGCTTTAGTCCTTTGGCACTTTTGACCTTATGTCTCACTCAAGAATTGCTAACAAAATTAGCTCAGCTGGCGTCAGAACTTGCCATTTCTTGTCCTGTCAAAATGTTCCGGGTGAAATTGTTCATGCAGCAGAAGGTGAGTGGCCAGTTTCGATCAGGGCTGCTGGTGGAGAATACTTTTCTTGGGCGCTGAACCAGCATGGGCCCCAAACTCTCAGCTTTCATTTTTTTAGAACAGTAAGTCAATCTGACACCTATAAAGAAAGTTAGAAAGGAAAATGTGCAGATAACGTTGTCAGGCTTTGGCAGACAAATACAGAAAAGCTAGGTATGTTTAATCATTGTTGCTATGCAATTGCAGAAAGGAATGCTGACCATCCCCGCTTGGGCTTGAGAGAGACCCTCCCAGGACAGCAGAAGAAACAGGAGAAGAAGCTTGTTTCTGTTGCTGCCAATCTGAACAGAGGATAGTCTTCCTGTGTACTGAGGTACCTTCCTCCACATCCACATTATTTCACTTACTCCCCAAGTGTGCTGCCTTAACATTATCAAACACAACCAGCTGGCTTTGGCATATTTTACTCTGAAGTATTTCCCTTGAAATAAATGAAGTTTCCTTCCTACTCAAAAAAAATTGTGATATTGCCATATTCAACACCCTCTCCAATTTTCCATGTCCCCCCACAACTGCTAACGGGCTGTTTGTCATCACTGTTATTTATATAGGAACCAGGAACCACAAATGTAAAATACAAAATGAACCAGCAAATACAATGAAAAAACCATCAAATGCCCTACAGCTGGAGCAAGTCAGTATTCATAGACTCATAGATCAGAGTTGGAAGAGACCCTGAGGATCATCTAGTCCAACCCCGTAAAATGCAGCTGTCCCTTATGGGGATCGAACTTGCAACCTGGGTGTTTTCAGCACCGTGTTCTAACCAACTGAGCTAATCCTGTAGAATGAATTTCAGCACACGGGTGGTTTTATTAATAAAGGTTGGTAAAATGTGTGTGTGTTTTGCTGACAGCTGTGAAGCTATACATACTTAATAGTATCTCTTGCTGGTTGTATCTTTCTATTGCTTTTCCTCCCCGAAGCTCAAGGCTATGTAAATTTTATTCCCCTCTTCCCTTTTAATCTTCACAACAGCCCTGTGAGGCAGACTGAGTTGGTAGTTCAGACACCAAATCTGTGAAACTGAACATACTTAAATTATTTTTTTGCTTGTTATTGATCAGGGTTGGCAAACTTTTGTTTTTTTGGGGGGAGAGATATTTTGTATCTTGTCTTTTTCTACCAGGAGTTAAGGGTTGTGTCAGTTGTTCTCCTCCCTCCTTCTGTCTTTGTAAGAGGCCTGTGAGGTAAAATAGGTTAAGTTAATATATGCACATAAGCAGAAGCTTTTTGCTAATGGATTGCCTGGCGGAATAGGCAGGGCAGGGGGAGTGTTGTGATATACTTCAGGTTTATTCTGGGGTAATTGGTTTGTAATGGCAGTCACCCACTGTGGAAACTAGAGAAGGTTAGCTCTCAAGAAGGATTCAGTTTTGTGTACTTTAAAATATATAATTATTTGCAGAGAATTTTTTTAATAAAGACTTTCTTCTTTTATTGGGGAAAAAACAAGGAGTTGTGGCAATGGAATTTCTTTATTGCCTTTTTTTCATTTCCACAGCCAATATTCTGCAAGGTAGGAGCCATCTCGAGTGATAATCCTGCCCCCATTTTGGTTGCTGAAAGCAAGAGTCAGTAACATAAGGGATGTCACGTTGCACGAAATGGGGGTGGAAGACCATAAGATGTGCTGCAGAGTTGGGAAAATGAGAGATTTAATGCCAAAAAACTTTTTGTACAATCCACTCCGTCCACAAAATGCATTGGGCTTGGGCTCTCAGTTGTGAAACAGAATATTTATGTTAAGGTTGGAGGGGTCCACTTATTCATTCATCTGGCCATATGATGATCAGGTGCAAAAGAGAATAGCAGTCATGCACTGCCATTAATAGGACCCAGTAACAGAGGAGTTTCCCACAATGTCTGCCCCTTAAGACTCTTGATTGTGAAGCAATCAGTATCGTTATCACAGGTTTCCCCCCCTTACTTTCCTCCCTCTCACTATAGTCTCATTATTCTACAGGCACAATTCAAGTTACTTATCTACTCTTGATTAAGTGATACACCACGGTCTTGGAACTACTCTTTCTGTTCCCCGGTTACAATGTGAATTTATGCCCTACTTTTCAAGGAAAGAAGCTTTCAGAAAGCAAATGAATGACTAAGACTGGATTTCTGAAGATCCTTACTTAGAGGCATCCAGAAGCAATACTTTGTATTTCTTTAGGACATTCCTTCACTCCATGTTGCTCCTCGTGAGTCCAGAGGAACATTGCCCGGCTATTATTTTATTGTTTTAATATGCTGTAAACTGTTTTGAGATTTTTATTAAAAATATAAAGCGGTATAGAAATTTAATACATACATACATACATACATACAAATAGAGGTGGACGATGCTGGTGTGGCAGGCAGTGGGTCCCCACTGATATCAACCAGGCTATTTAGGCCCTGATTCAAGAATATCAAGCCCTGAAAGGACTGCTTACCTTCCTATGATGGCAAGTGGCGGTTGTGCCCTGGCATAGCCACGGTCCACACCCAGGGCAAACTTCTGACTGTTGGCAGATGGCACCCCATCTTTCTCTGACTATGTGTGTTGCTGGGAGTCTTGTATTCAAGTGGACCTATCACAGGCAAGCTGCATTTGAATGGACCTATCCGGAAGCTGTATGCTGGCTCCCTCGGCCAGTAAAGCGAGATGAGCACCGCAACCCCAGAGTTGGTCACGACTGGACCTAATGGTCAGGGGTCCCTTTACCTTTACCTATCATGGTGCTGGAGGAGACTCTTGAGAGTCCCATGGACTGCAAGAAGATCAAACCTATCCATTCTTAAGGAAATCAGCCCTGAGTGCTCATTGGAAGGACAGATCGTGAAGCTGAGGCTCCAATACTTTGGCCACCTCATGAGAAGAGAAGACTCCCTGGAAAAGACCATGATGTTGGGAAAGATGGAGGGCACAAGGAGAAGGGGACGACAGAGGACGAGATGGTTGGACAGTGTTCTCGAAGCGGGAGGTAGTGGAAGACAGGAGTACCTGGCGTGCTCTGGTCCATGGGGTCACGAAGAGTCCGACATGACTAAACGACTAAACAGCAATCACAGGCAGGCTGCATTTGCTGGGAGGATTGTATTCAAACGAACCTATCGCAAGCAAGCTGCATTTGAATGGACCCATCTCAGGCAAGCAAGGGGTAAGTGAGGCTTTGTGGCGGACCTGAGTGAAGACCAGGGGCTGAAGTCTGCTCACTGGGAGTATAAAAGTCCTTGCCATGGGCATAGCCAAGGCGGCGGGGGGGGGGTCAGGAGGGTACCTGCTCTCCTAAATAAAGCAAATCACTAAAAATACTTAACTAACTGAGGTTCTTCCTCTTCTAACATAAATCCTGGCTACGCCTGTGAGCCTTGTATATATACAGCGGTACCTCGGGTTACATACACTTCAGACTCCGCTAACCCAGAACTATTACCTCGGGTTAAGAACTTTGATTCAGGATGAGAACAGAAATCGTTCTCCGGTGGCACGGCGGCAGCAGGAGGCCCCATTGGCTAAAGTGGTGCTTCAGGTTAAGAACAGTTTCAGGTTAAGTACGGACCTCCAGAACGAATTAAGTACTTAACCTGAGGTACCACTGTACTTGTCAGCTCAGTCAAAGCTGGATTTGGAGGAATGAGGAAGCTCCAGAAAAGGCTTTGGAAGTAGCTGAAGATCTGAAACTGAGCAGAGATCGGCCCTGCAAATGGTTGAAGACTGGAGGCCTAGGTTCAACCGGTTCTTTGGCAGAACTGGTATTGTGAGCGTGAGTTCTTCATCGAGCAGAGAAGGGAAGGAGTTTCCTTCACAGCCAATCAGAATGGCCTTACATGAAATCATTAACATTTTAAACTCTTTAACGTAACTGAATCTGTATCAGTTAGCCAACAATCTGTTTTACCAAATCGCATTTGCTAACGTTTGCAGTTCCATCTGTGCTGGCTCAGTTGGTTAGAGCGTGGTGCTGATAATGCCAAGGTCACAGGTTCGATCCCCATAAGGGACTGGCCACATCTTCCTGCATGGTAGGGGGTTGGACCCGATGCTCCTCAGGGTCCCTTCCAACTCTACAGTTCTATGATATGCCAAAACAGTTCTTTGAGTCTCCCTTTGACTTTGAGGCCCTGGGACAAATTGCTTTCCTCCTCCAACCCCAAATAAACCTTGCCCTCTCACATCACTCAACTGTGTTTCTTTGGATTCTCTGGAGAGGGGGAGCAACTAACAACACAGATTATGCCTGTAGCAGAGATGTGTTGGATCAATGAATGGCTAATAGGCAATTCAAACAAAAATGGCTTTTTCTTTCAATGCTCAGCTAATGGAGCAATTCAGGAGAGAAAGCCTTTCTCACTAAAGAACACACTGGTAGTTCTTTTACAGTCAAAGGACCTAATGAAAACTGTTGAGTGTATTTAGAAACATCAGGTGTCTCAACAATGAAAGTGCAGATAAGCTATGTATTACTCATTATGAGATGTTTATATGTACTTCCTTTTCATATAATACTTTGTTTTTAAATTGTGTCAGTTTTTGCTGCAAATAAGAGGGTGAAGAAGCTGCAGATGTGGTTGTTGGTTGGTTGGTTTGTTCATTCCATTTAATCAGGTGCTAATAAGCATAATTCTCTGTGTGATGCACAAAATGAAACAGATTAAAATCATAGTTCCAATAAAGCAAGACTCACTCAAGCAGTGAATAAAACAAACTGTAAAAGCAAAACAGTCACCCCAAAACAGAGCTCGAAAGAGTAAAAACATCATAGCAGAAACAAATTCAGTATAGAAAACAAGTTGTAGATGAGAGGGAAGTGGTCAGTTCTTTATCCAAGTGCATTCTCTTCCCCTGTATATTTTCTTTTGTGTTAACTGTGTTTCTTTGTTGTGACATTGTTATGTCTTAGCTGCCACGAGTTGTCTCAGTCTTTCGATTGTTTGCAACCATCCCCACTGAGGACTGTCCTGGGCTCCAGCCTTGCTATAGAACTACTTCCTTTTGTACACACAAGTGACCCGCTTTCCCAGTTATTCTGCCTCTGGAGTTTAAAAAGCCATTTAGCATTTCCAACTCATCGATAGCCAGTTGGGGTGCTCAAAATACATTGAATTTTCCTCTGTGGGAAGCAGGTTAGCTGGTGCAGGTTATTAAAAAGATTATATAATGCAAAGTGTACCTAAGCAGCTTACATCAGAGTGTAATAGAAAGGAAACAAACAAGATACTTGTCATTTCCAAGTTGTTGGTACTTGTAAAAACAAATAAACACACATGTGGATTCGAGGATGCCTAGAATTGGCACCCCACTTGCATCTTGAGGGTTAGATTTGTTTTCTTCTGATAAGCTCAGTGGGGGTGAGGGAAAGACAAGGATTGCTGGATGCCAGAGAGTGTTGGGAATGAAATTGCCATAGAACAGTGGTTCCCCATTGGGGGTCTGCAGACCTCAGGAAGTTGGTGGCACATACCCATCAAGTGTTCAGGACATCCCATTTGGAGGGGGTGCTCTTGCGTGGGTCATGTGATGCATGCGGGAGCATGGTCTGTAAGACGCATGTCCTGGTTTGGGGATCATTAAGATAATGATCCCATCTCCGAAGAAATTCATTTTCTCTTCTTCTGTGCAGTCTGTGAAATATCTGTTCAGATACAGATGTATAAAGTCAGGATGGCATGCTGAGATTATTCTAGGAAGCATGCTAATGCATCCTGGGAACTTTTTGTCCTATTAGCTGAGTTCCATAATAACTATTTTCTATTTTCTATTAGTTCACAGCAATGTGATTTTAAGATCTTACCAGCATGCATTACCCTCAATGAGGGTTCGTAATAAGCCCTAATTTGCAGCTCACTTGGTTTACTATTTCATCTCTGATATGTGCTTTCAGCATGGAGGGTTTTGTTACTTTAAGAATCTACAAATTATTTAATTATTCTTTGTTGAATCTCAGTCTTTTGATGAAGGGAAACAGATAGACCTCATTTTCTTCCTTTAATACACTTTTAGTTCTTTTGTCAGCCAGCAGACCAGATAGCACCCTAGTCAATTTCCTCCTTCTGGTGTATTTAAAGTTTTGAAATCATTCTTGGTTGTCTTAATGCTTTTAGTGATGTGCTCCTCAAAGTCTTTAATTTCTCATTTTGTTTTTGTATTCTTTCTTTTTTTCCCATAGAGATAAATGTGTGAGGTTCTAGATGTCCATCAATTCCTCCTCTTCTTAGGGTGAGACTGATATTTGGACCCTTAAAGGTAAAGGGACCCTGACCATTAGGTCCAGTCGCGGATGACTCTGGGGTTGCGGCGCTCATCTCGCTTTATTGGCCGAGGGAGCCGGCGTACAGCTTCTGGGTCAAGTGGACACCATGACTAAGCCGCTTCTAGTGAAGCCAGAGCAGCGCACGGAAACGCCGTTTACCTTCCCGCTGGAGAGGCACCTATTTATCTACTTGCACTTTGACGTGCTTTCGAACTGCTAGGTTGGCAGGAGCAGGGACCGAGCAACGGGAGCTCACCCCGTCGCAGGGATTCGAACCACTAACCTTCTGATCGGCAAGCCCTAGGCTCTGTGGTTTAACCCACAGCGCCACCCACGTCCCTTTGGACCCTTAGGTGAGAGGTAAGGGAAGTGTCATTGTCCAGTATGTTAAATGTTGGATGAATTGGTTTCTATACCCACCAGGGTGAAATCCTGTTATTGGGGATAGATTCTGCATCTTTCCCCCTGTCCAGTGAGAGATAAATGTTTTCTTTAGGGATTGTTCATGTAGTCCTTCCTTCTGTGTTAGTATTTATTTAGCTCTGGCCAGTTCTCAAGGTGTAGAAATGCGAGTGGGTTGTTGGCTGAGGATGTGGAATTGAATTATATGAGTGCCTGCAGAACACAGAGAGTGTGATTTGAGGGTGCATTAGAATAGTAAACTTAAATATATTGGTTTAGAGCATTGATGTGATTGAATAAGTGCATTGATCATGTATGGGTGAGCTCGACTGGACCTGAATGGGATGCACTTTTTATGTAGCTGGATTAAGTTGTGCATATAAGAGGCTAGGAATTTACCTGGATTGGTTTGTTTAATAGTATGATTAATGTGTGGTACTTGGGAAGTGAACTGATTTTCTTAACTGATGTGATTAAAAAAGGTTGAATTTTGATTTTGATTTGTAATATTTTACTTCCTGGTGGTTAGAGGATATTTTGTTTAGCTTTTTGCTATGTTTATTATGAATTTCCTTTGCATTTCTTGAGTTTATTTTTATGTTTGATATTAAAGAGGATGCTCTAATTGTTTATTGTGCTTTATAGAATGTAAAAACGCTCTGTTATTTTTATATTTGTTGTTTAGCGAAGACATTTTCACCTATGTTTTAAACAGATTTAGATTTAGATTTAAATATAAGCAGTATATGAATTGGCCAAATCAAATAATTAAAATAAATAACTGTGTGCATTATTTTTGTTGGTCTGCAGATTTGTGTTCCTCCCTCCCTGCACCACCTCATTTCTGAAGGAAGACTTCTTGCTTCCAGCAACTAACTTGAGTGTGCTCATCAATCTCACTAGACTTGCTGGTACTTCTCCTGATCTGTAGTATTCATTCTAGCTGGGTTTCTGTTATTATGAACAACCTTCATTCATTCTGGAGATATTGGGCTCTCCTTTCCCTTTCAGCTTAATATCTAAATATATTTATTGTCACATGATGTGTTGTTGAGCTTTCGTAAACTCCTTGATTCACAGTCATACAGACGCTGTATTTCTTGTCTACTGAAAATCTTCCTCTTTCGAAAAGCCTTTGAAGTGAAGATCTTTATCCCATTCTGTGTTTGTATTTCAATTGTTGTTAACTGTTTTCCTACATGGAGTTGTTTTTTAATTGTTTTCTATATGGAACTGGTTTTAATTGTTTTTACAATTGTCTTGTTTAATAATCATATATTTTATTGTTGTATCCCACTCTGAGACCGTACGGTGAAGGCTAGGTAAGAAAACTACTGGTACTAACTAACTAAAATATGCTTATTATATTGGTTTGCTAACATTTACATTATTTGGATAGCATAGGGCAGGGGTGGTCAAAATTGTTGTCCGACTACAGCTCCCATCATTCCTGACCATTGGCCATGCTGGTGTGGGACATTTAAAAACAAGTCCACAGAAATTGCCACCAGGCCAAGTGTGGTTTTTTCCCATCTGTTTCTGAGCTCCTAGAAAGTGTAATATGGCTGGGGGCAGGTAGCCAGGACTGAAGCAGAGAGGAAAATCATGCTTAGAACTTAAGAACATCACAGGTGCTTTTGGGATAAATACCTTTACCACTGCAGGGTTTGTTTTCCAATACACTCAGGAACTTGGGAAGTTGCCAGATACGGAGTCAAATCACTGGACCATTTTCTACACTTGACTGGCACTGGATCTCGAGGGTTTCAGGAAGGGTTTTCAGAAACGTATCATAATAACTATTGAAAGAAAGGACAAAAGTAGGGCGATTGTTGCTTGTTACCATAATGATGTGTTGATCAAATACCACAAACATTCAGGAAACGAGGATAGGCTTGCTATTAACGTTCTGTTCCTATAGGAACAAATAGACAGGGGAAAACAGGAAGCTAGACTAATGTAGCTGCTTCAGTGCTAAAACACCGTGGGGTTTTGTTTTCTCTGCACCAGATCTGACAGAGGGAGGGAGGGAGAGAGAGAGAGAAAGAAGGAGGGGTTTATGTTCCCTTTGGGAAAGAGGCACAGCGGAAACCATGGTGTTTTCAGGATATATGGTTTATTTACACCTATATACAACCTGAGCCTGCGATGGACGGGTTCACAGCATCAACATCCCAAGAGGGTCTTGCTTCTCCCATCGCCACAGCCTTGGATTCCAGCAGAGATCAACCATGTTCACTCTCTGCTTTTCCATTCAGCTTTTAACTCACATAGCTCAACTCTAACCTTTTGACCAAAACCACTCTTTTGTTTCCCTTCATGGCCCATCACCCAGGCTGGCCTGGCTATTCCAGCAATTGAATCTGTGCTGGATCCAAGAATTAGAAGGGGACCCAGGCATTCAGCCCCCCTACCCCTCATAACAGTATCCTTTTTCAGCTTTCAGACAGAGGTGCTGTAAAGCTGCTAGGGTGCAATTATTGAAATAACTACAATGCACACAAAATAGTCAAAGGTTCCTCGTTCCTATCAATGCCATTCTTCCTAATCCAAAGTCTTGATCTCATTTATTTCATGCTGTTTTGAACATCGTGTTAAGGGGGCTGCCACAGCAGACCAGGTCTCAGGAATTAAGCCTCCTGCCGCTATAATTACAGAACTGCAATTCTCCCTATCCTTGCCTAGTTTAGCAACGTAACTTACAAGTGAGAGAACAGATGCCTGAGCACTCGCTGAGCAGGAGGCTGTGGAGTTGTCATGATTCTGTTTCCTCCCTGCTGTTTCTGTGCATATGAATTAAGGGGAAGCAGAATGAGACAGAGGGAGGCTCACCATATTGAGGTTTCATAACCAACTGCTCAGCCAGACCTGACTTGGGAAGGTCTCTGCAACTCTCACTCTCATGTCTAAAACCTTGACACCCACAGGTAAAGGATTGCCATAGCTGACAGAAGCAAGCCAGCAGTAAATCACACTGAGCAAGTTGGAATTAACTATTTATTAGCAAAAACAAGATCTGCACAGGAGTGTTGGGCCTAATGAGCATGTCTTCCCTGGCATGTCTTTCCCCCCTGAAGCAGATGCTGAGACTGTGCCTCCCCACAGCTGCCTAAATCCTCTCCTCTCCAGGGTTTCTCTCAATCAATCTGAGACTGTGCCTTCCATGAAGCTAACTTCTCCACCCTTTTCATGCCTCTCCTGGTTCTGGGAGACTGCGGGAAGGGGAGCTTGCCATAGCAGGAGGGGGAGACACCTGTGGAACCTATCAAAGTCCTGCATACCTCAGCCTCCTCTCCAGCCGACTCTGCAGTCAGGTGAGTAACACAGAGTCCAACCAGAGCCCAAAGACCTCATGGAGCCACTCAGAGGCCTGCAAGCCCTCAGAGTAGGACAGAGAGGTTCACATTTGTTGTGAGGACATCCAGCAACATTTGTTGTGTGGACATCCAGTGGCGAAGCCATAATAATAATAATAATAATAATAATAATAATAATTGTACTGCCTTTTTCCCTGTCAAGGACTCAAGGCACCTTACAGATAAAAGAAGAACAATGGTGCCTTCACACCAAGTTTTGTCCGGCATTTCCTGGGGGATTTCCTGCTTTCTGTCTTTTGCAACTGTCTCTTTAAATTCCTCTCTTCCAGATCCCACTCTTCCAGCTTCAGTGGGACCCACAAGGGCCTGGACACTTGGTCTGTCTGTCATGGTGCTCAGGCCAAGCATCCCCATGGGGTGCTTCATGGGGAGAGCTGTGGGGACCTCGATTCCAAACCAACAGAGCACTTGGATCAGTTTGAGCACAGCCTGGCGGGCCCATTAGCTCCACCCCTTGCCTATTTTGCTTATTAAGAAGAAGAAGAAGAAGAAGAAGAAGAAGAAGAAGAAGAAGAAGAAGAGACTGCCTGGCAGGGCCATCTCATGTGATATCAGTGCAATGTGTGGGATGTAATCCACTGAGAGCAATCAAGTACAACATTCCTTGTATTGCTAGAGAAGACATGCGGGGGAATGTTTGATCCAGTCAATTGAAAACTTTCTGATTCCTCCTGGCTAGAGCATCCTTCCTTTGCATGTGACTAGAGGTGGGTGTGACTTTACCTGTCCAGGTAACAAAAAGACAAGTCACACAGCACCCTCTCTCTTTTTCACTTCCTTCTTTGTTCGACCAGCTTCTCAGCTAGGAATGCCCTGCTAGCTGCCAGCTAGCAGAGGCACTGGATTATTCCCCCACATGGGGTAGATCCACATGTACATATTTGTAACTAAGTCTGCCTTCAGGAATCCAACTGTGAACTGATGTGAGTAAACTTCTTTTATTGACTTTAAATATGATTGTCGTGTCTTTATTCTTTTAAGAGGAATTAAAGGGAATTTACCAAGAACTATACAATTCAATCTGAGACAGACTGAATTGTATAACAGTGAGAGGCTTACACAAGCCTGCAACCAGCTATCTGCTGTGCGTGAGAAGGGGAATGTAAACTTTGTTAAGTAAAGGAACTTGCTAATGCAAGTTAGGAAGGATGTTAATAAACAATATATCCTCTCCTGCCACTCTGAACATTCCCACACAATGTGACTCACATTCTTGATTGAAGTGCAGTGCATTCAGAATGACATAATTTCAGTGAAAGAGAGAATGGTGCTATTATCTCTGCTTTTAGAGGGTAAATCCCAGGAGAAAGCATGGAATTGACAAACTGACTCATCAAACGAAATGTAGGGGTGGTGGTTCAAGTTGTACTCTTCTTGGTGCATTAGGTATTTCTGCCCTGCCCCCAATATTGCATTTGATCCCCACATGTATCTCAGTCTTAATCAAATGCATCGCGGCTCATATTTGGCATCTCTCATTTGGGTTCGACATGGCTTAGTATTGCATGAATATTGCAATGCAACCTACATCTAGAAATCTTCATGAAGCGGGTTGACCAAGATATAGAAATATGTTTGAATTTTATATAATGCTCTAGTTATGCTGAAAGCCACTTAAGCATTGAGCGAAGGATCTCTAGAATGGTGCCTATAGAGACCTTCTCTGGAGCCTCCAGGGTCCCTTCCCAGGCACACCCCTGCTGAAATTAAGATTAAAAGAAGCATTCTGCTGAACCAATAGAATGGGCTACAATGTGTGTTTGGTTGTGATGTGTGGTGCCTATTTTCTGTTTTGCAAATGTGCCCACAGGCCCACAAAGTTTGGCAGCCCTCACATTAAGCCCTAGTTTTTGGTATTTGATATGCTACGCTGACTTGTAGCTGCGTTCAGTGGGGCATTTCTACAGAGGCCGGTATCGCCCAGCAGAGATTGGGGGTGGTGTGCACCCTTTGTAAAAGGGTGCCATAGCAGCAATAGTCAAGGGAGCGATTTGCTTTGCAGTGTACTCATTTGATAAAAAAACAGTTGATGGAAACCTCATTGGCAAGGGATGAAATAGGTGAAACGAAACACTCAAACCAATGTTAATAAACACCACCACTTCCACAGAATCATAGCGACGCCGGGAAGCCAAAATAATCCTGCAGTTCTGAAAGAAATTCATTAAGTGGAAGTAAGTAGGAAAGTGTGAAGGATCAATTACTCTCTAGAGATTACAAGGCAGGATGTAAACAGCCCCATCATGTGTGCCCTGTAGCATGGCAGGAGTGGTTGTAAAGACTCCCAGCTGCACCTGATAATAACACTTATTATATGGGTGCACACAGTAAGGTATTGGGGGGAGGGCAAAGGAAATACTCCAAAGAAATAAATAAATATACAGATGCATAATATGCACAAAACTAGCATCAGAGAACAGCCCTACTGTTCCAAGTAGACCTGGTGACTGAATGACAATGAAGCCTAGGCAGACCTGGCCCCTGTATTCTAGGTCTATCCCTCTGTTTGTCTCTCGACAAACGTGTCTACCCAGAGATAGATCTGGCATCTGGACACCACTGTAATGGCTGGGTCTCTCCCACAGAAGCAAGACAACTCCGGCAGCAATTAACTCAGGTTTATTGCTCAAAACACACAAATCATTCTGGAGCTCAGTCACTCAGCATCTGCTTCCAAATTAGCTGTTGCCGAGTCTGAATTCCACCCCTTCCGACTCCCACATTTAATTTTTTTTTTAAATGATATTTATTAAAGTTACAAAAAATAAAGAAATACAAAATACAGAAAAAAGAATAAAATTTTTAAAATATAACAAAAAAGTAAAAAATAAGAAAAAACCATACAAAATAAAACAGTTAAAAAGACATTAATTTTCCAAACCTATCTTCTCTAGACTTATTTCCCCGGACCTCCTCATACCTCCCTTTTTTTGTATTCCAGTTCAGTTTGTTAGTTCAGCAAATCCTTACCATTAAACTTTTGCCCAATTGTAAGCCTATTTTCATATCTCTTAAAGCATTACAGCTAAAAAGCTCTTAGTTTCTATCCAACATCCTTCTAAGATTCCTTAATTTTACAATATTTCTGTAAATAGTCTTTAAATTTCTTCCAGTCTTCTTTCACCGACTCTTCTCCCTGGTCTCGGATTCTGCCAGTCATTTCCGCCAGTTCCATGTAGTCAATCACCTTCATCTGCCATTCTTCCAGAGTGGGTAGATCTTGTGTCTTCCAATACTTTGCAATGAGTATTCTTGCTGCTGTTGTAGCATACATAAAAAGGGTTCTGTCCTTCTTTGGCACCAACTGGCCGACAATGCACAGAAGAAAGGCCTCTGGTTTCTTCAGAAAGGTATATTTAAATACCTTTTTTATTTCATTATAAATCATCTCCCAGAAAGCCTTAATCCTTGGGCACGTCCACCAAAGGTGAAAGAATGTACCTTCAGTTTCTTTACATTTCCAACATTTATTGTCAGGCAAATGATAGATTTTTGCAAGCTTGACTGGGGTCATGTACCACCTGTATATCATTTTCATAATATTCTCTCTTAAGGCATTACATGCCGTAAACTTCATACCTGTGGTCCATAACTGTTCCCAGTCAGCAAACATAATATTATGTCCAACATCTTGTGCCCATTTAATCATAGCAGATTTCACCGTTTCATCCTGAGTATTCCATTTCAACAGCAAGTTATACATTCTTGATAAATTCTTAGTTTTGGGTTCTAACAATTCTGTTTCTAATTTTGATTTTTCCACCTGAAAACCAATTTTCTTATCCAAATTATATGCCTCCATTATCTGATAATAATGAAGCCAATCTCTCACTTTATCTTTTAGTTTCTCAAAACTCTGCAGTTTCAATTTGTCTCCTTCTTGTTCCAAAATTTCCCAATATTTCGGCCATTTGGCCTCCATATTGAGCCTTTTCAAGGCTTTCGCTTCCATTGGTGACAACCACCTTGGAGTTTTATTTTCCAATAAATCCTTGTATCTTGTCCAAACATTAAACAGTGCTTTCCTGACAATATGATTTTTAAATGCTTTATGTGCTTTAACCTTGTCATACTATAAATATGCATGCCATCCAAATACGTTGTTAAAACCTTCTAAATCCAAAATGTCTGTATTTTCAAGAAGTAGCCATTCTTTCAGCCAGCAAAAAGCTGCAGATTCATAAAGTTTAAAGTCTGGCAGGGCAAATCCACCTCTTTCCTTGGCATCAGTTAATATCTTAAATTTTATTCTGGGCTTCTTGCCCTGCCAGACAAATCTAGAAATATCTCTCTGCCACTTCTTGAAACAGTCCATCTTGTCCACAATTTGCAGTGTCTGAAACAAAAACAACATTCTAGGCAATACATTCATCTTTATCACAGCAATACGGCCCAGCAGTGAAAGCTTCAAATTTGACCAGATTTCTAAATCTTTTTTGACTTCGTTCCAAAATTTTTCACCGACTCCCACATTTAAAGCCCCCCTTTGCTTCCTTTCCTGTTCACGCCTCTCATTAATTCTTGCTCGCCTACGCATCATGGGATGGGCTATTTCAGGTGGCCTTCCCTCTGAGTCCGAGCTTAAACTGTCAGTCTGTGTCTTCCCCCTTGAACTCCCCCCTTCCTTCTCCTTGTTTTTTGGGCTCAGGCTTCTACTGCAACTAGGCTGCTCCTCCCTTGTTCCGCATTCCTGCCTAATTACCTCCTCCTGTCTCTCCAAGCTCTCCCCCTCTGTTAGCAATGGGACACAGCAGACAACCACCTTCCATTTGCTGTTTCATCCTTCCATTCTTTCGCTGACTCCCTTCATCCTCTTTAGCCCTTAATTAATTGCATTGCTTCTACAGTCCACTTCACAGTCACACCCACCCAACCATATTGTAAGGAGCAGTTTGGGAGAAATCCGGGTTGGACAGAGGAAGGCTTGGCTCCAAAGCCTTCACCTGAGCCTATTTGACTGGACACTGGCAGGTCTTCTTTGTTTTGTTTTGACCGAGGGGCATGTCTCTCATGTTGCCAGTTTTCAAACAGATTGCTCACCAAAACCTAAAGGAAGGACATAAAATTCCTTGATCCTCCCTGGTGAGTGCTGAGGCCATCACCAGCACCCTGTCGGAAATCAAGCCTTTATCAGGAGAAACTGGCAACTCTCCAGGGACCCGGCTTGATCTCCTGTTGACCTCCCTGTCTGCATTCCCCAGCAGGATACAGGCTAGGCCGCGATAGGCGATTCTTCTCAGCGTGAGAAGAACACACCCCCTCCCTCCTGCTCTCCCGGCAGGGAAAAGGAGATAGACAGAAACGTTTTTACATGCTTTTATTTCTGTCTTTGAAGCTTAACAGAAAACATAACTGCTCTCTTCAAGCTCCAGCAGTCGAGTGACAAACACCTCCTGTACTTCCTGTACAAGAGCAAGAGGAAGAGCTCATATTACACTCTGAGCTAATTCCGGTGCATTGCCCTGTGAATTGACTGTCCCTCTGTTTCCCACGGAACAGTCCCAACATTCCATCATGTTTTGTTTTCAAGCTACCAGTTTGCAGCTGCATTGCTTCTATATCGTAACACACCCCTGCTAGACCTACTTCTAGCTTCAAGGCTCCAGTGGTGAGAAATGATTGAAATTAGAGTGGAGAACTGGTAAATGGAGAAAGGATGGGGTAACTCTCTTCCTCCCTGCCCGCAAATTCTCCCCTAGAAGTGGTCTATTCACCCAGTGTATTTGCCTTGAAAGAAAGTCAGGACACGGGACCTCCATGTTTCTCTGTTGCCATCCAGTTGCATCCACACCCTCTTGGACTTCTGCCTCTAC